TTTTTTTTTCTCAGCAAGAGCACTATTCCTAAGTGAAGGTCAAATCAGCATGACAAACATGGCTGACTTCTGGATCTCAATCCTGCCAGGCAGGAGCAACTTGCTTCTTTGAAATAAAGTCAATCCCACTTGCAGAGACTGTCATTTAATAGCAGGCACACTTGGCAGGTAGAAATTATAAATACATTTGAAATTTTCTCAGCGGGTTTTACCCACCAGGGATTGCTGTGATTTTCAGGATAATTTAAAGATAAGGCAGTAGGTCAGAATAGGAAACGTTAAGGAGGTTAACAAAGAAATGGCAGAATATTCCTTTTTCCTCAAGAAATGAAAGAAGACATATACATACACACACACATACATGCACACACAGGACAGATAACACAGTGTCGCTCTTTCTCTCTCTGAAGCTCTTAAAAAATAATAAAGGCATGAAATAAAGATAAAACCTTCAGGTTTTCAGAATCTTTCCTAAATGGAAAGATGGCTTCATCCCACACTTTGCATGAACATTAAAAAATATATATGGTCTCGGGGATGGAAAAGAACTTGTAGACCAGTCTGTCACTGAACAGACCAAACAAACCACCGATTAAGTGGCATAGTTTCCATTTCAAGTGCAGACGCAGACACAGCAGTCTCCCCCTCCGATTCTATTACCAACACTAATCTCCAAGTTCCTTCTGCAAAAACGTTCCTTATGTGAACACCTCTTTAATAAACTCCCACCCTGTCAGGGGGTGAGGAGATCAAAGGATCTTTGGGGCTGGGATTCTGGAAGGATTATCCCGGACGCACAGTTCTTTTGGTAAAGATACCAGGAAGAGCTAAGTAGTTGTAATGTTATTACATAAATTCCTCTCATTTGATTTTGAACCCAGCTTGCCACGAATGGAAAGAAGGTTGGCTGTATGTGCTGCTAAATTTGTGATACTAACCAACAGCTCTGGAAGGAGGACATGGCCCAGCCAGCGTATGAGTTCAGCACACATGTCTTATGTGGCAGGCGGGAGAAATGACCAGGAAATGGATGCCAAGGCCTTTTGGCGTGACAGAGGGTCACATCCGAGAGGCCATCCTATATTGGGGCTTCCTGTATCGCTGCTGACCACACAGTCCCCTGACTGTACGTGCTAAGATTGACAATAAACTAGTGATAACAAGGAAACAAGGAAGATTTAACTGTCAGAAAACAGGCAGAGCTGTGCTGCTGAAAGGGGAACAAGCTTCTGAAATAGCAAGGCTTCACAAAAGGGAGGGGACAGCTTCTCAGAAAAGAAAACAATCAACACAGTTTGTTGTCTTTAAAGGAGATAGAACAAGACAAAAGCAGGAAGTGCTGTCCTTCCTTCACCCTGCCACATTTTCAATGGAAAGTCAAGTGTGCACATCAATCACAAGAAGGGAGAAGAGGCCGAAGCGATACCATCTTCAATTTTTTTTTGAAGAAAAATACAAAGATCTATCACAAGGAACAGTGTTCCTCATTTTGCTCTTTCGACTAGTCCACACTATGAAGTCATTCCCATTGAAACACCCCTGTGCAGGCCAAGCATGACCCCTCTTTAAACTTGCTGCATGGTTCATGCTCCTTAGCACCTGAGGCAGGCCTTCAGGCTGGAAGGAGAATACTATGCCATAGTTCTCCAGAACAAAGATTCCGGGTCCACATTGCTTAGGTGCTTCTAAGCCTCAAAGGCCCTTGCTTTGCTGTGGTTACAAAGAATATTGAACATACTTGGATAGTTAGAAGTCAAATATTTTTAAAAGAGTTGAGATGATTTGCCAGGGAATTCTAAGAGGATGGATACTAACCATATGCCCTCCAAATTTTGTATAAAACTGAAAACAATGAGAACAAATAATTTATTTGCACTCAATCTTGTCGTTGCACAATTAATTTAATATGTTCTCTGGTGGGCTCAGGCTATGATGTCACTTTCTGGGATAGAAATCAAATTTTGCTAAATTCTATTAAATGAAAATGAAATAATATATGCAGGCTGTCCTGAATTATGGACTTGGTTGGTTATAAAACTTGTTTGCAATTCTGTATTTTGGATACCAAAATACATTTTAAAATAATTAAAAAAATCAATGTTTGAAATAGTGGTTAATCCCAGGCAAAACTGCATACATTTATTTACTCCACAATGAATCTAAAGTATAGTATTATGTTTACAGTGCTACAGAAGTGGTAATGTACAAGAAGAAATAATTATAGCTAACATACATCAATAACTTATAATCGGCCATAAATTAGGCTAAAAGCTTTGCATGTATTATCTCTTTTAATCCTCACAAAAATACTAGGTACAGATGAGGAAACTGAGCCTCAGAATGATATTGTGACCAGCTCTAGATCACACAGTAAGTGCTGAATACAGACTTTGAGGACAGGGAGCTGAACTCCAGAGATGACTCTAAGTGTTAAGAAACTTAGGCCTCTAGCTCCTGCTCGTTGTGGGGGCCTGCACAGGTTACTCAATAACAATGAACCTGTTTTCTCAACTGAAAATTAGAGCTGGACTCACAGATTCTTCCAGCTCCCTTTAGGCTGAACATTCTATTATTCCATTGGCTACATTCCACATGTTATTGCCTTTGACTGAAAATGTATTCAGAGTTTCAAACTGGGATAGATTCAGCATCCTTTCCCCTTACCTGGTGGAAGAGGGAGCTTGTAGGAAGGACTTAGGAGTGGGGGGTGGGAATGCTAGAGGACACATGGAGAAGGGAAAGGGCATAGGGACTGTTAGATGGGGAACCAGGGGCATGTGAGGGTTTGAGTTTCCAGCTGGAGCTCTGTCATTCGTTTCTTTTGCATGCACAGGGAGCCACTGGGAAGTTTCTCTTTCTATATAGGGTTTTGCTCCTTCCAGGACCCTATTCAACAGAACACACAGATAAAACTCCTCTCCTTGTTCTCCTGTCCCTGAAACAAGTACTGCCTAATCCTGCTGAGGTTTTCTGAGTTTTTATCCCCAGTAACCAAAGAAGTGGACAGGAAGTGAAGGGCTTCCTGCCATGTCCACATGCAGCCCCCTTTTTGTTGTTTCTTTCCAATTCAACTTTTGTAGCAAAAGACTAAGATGTTGGGATAAATAAAGGATTGAAGGAAAAATCTATCAAATTTTAGGGGGAAAAATTTAGACTCCAAGTTTCTTCAGCATTTCTCTTTAGGAAAGGTAAGGAGCTTCAGCAAGGAGATGAGATAGAAATTTCAAATTCTGTCTTCCAAAATGCTTGGATATAGAAGAGTCAAATAGAGGAAAGGAGGTGGGGAGTGCTGTCTTTGTGGTTTATGCCACTAGTTCTTCTTCCTTTTCCTATTTCCCTAGAAGAATGTATAAGATGATGGGAAAGAGAAGGAATAATTGAAAGGAAACTCCATGCCACAAAAATCATGCTGGAAAGGAAGTCCTCTGGCCAGTAATAATGAGCATTAATATACGAGAGAGGTGATTCAGCAAGGCTGTCTATTCAAACATAACTCATGTTTAGGCTCAGAGTACATATCATAAAGGTTATCTAGTCTGATCACCTTATCAATGTGCGGATTTTTCCTGAGAGCACCTTAGGCAGATGGTGAGGCAGGCTCTGTTCCAATATCCTATATAGCCCATTTCCTTCTTGGACAGCTCCAATAGTTAGAAAGTTCTTGGAACATTATCACTTCCAACTACTTGTTTTGGTGCAAACTCAATAAGGGCAAAAATGAGTTTTATTTTTGCATCCCCAGAACCTCCTATTTAGTGCACAGCAGATGCTCAATAAATTATTAACTTAATGCAAAAGTAAATTAATGAATATAAACTAAAGAAATAGATTAAGACTACTTTCTAATCTATACAATGACTCTTTACATATCTGATAACAATTATGATGTGTCCTGAACTTTCTCTTTCTCAAGCTAACTACCCTCAATTTTCTCAACTAGCCCTCTGTTGATCTAACTCTGGGGACTTATTATATTACCCATATGTGCTTTTGTAATTTCTTATATAGATTCAAAGGAAATAAAATAAAAACCAAGAGGTAATAAAAAATCCTCTTATCACATCTATTCCTCTTTGTTATTAGCCATAAAAAGTCCTTTGAAGATTCTATATAGCCTTCTCAAATATTTCAATAATAAAATATATAATTTTTGTTTATTGTAAAAAAGTGAGAAAATAAAATTCTCATAATTCAAGCTATTCAGGTACATCTCCTTTCAGTTATTTTTAAAAAAGATTTTAAAATGTAATTTGATCATACGACATAGATCATTTTATACCCTGCTCTTTAACTTAACAATATACTATAAACGTTTTCTCATGTTATTATCAATTCTTCACTGAGACTATTTAAAGGTCTTATATTTCCTTAGAAGCTATCCAGTTATTTACCCAACCAATACCTTATGGTTGTACAGAACACAATATATCACTATAATAAATAGGACTTAGGAAAAAAATATATGTCCACGAATTTTCCCCACATAGTTGCTAATCAGTTTAGGAGAGATTATCAGAAGTATAGTTCGAAAGGTCAAAAGGTATACATTTTTAATAAGACTTTTGAAATACTCTCTCTCTAGCTACCTTTCCCAGCCCTCAAGACTAGGTTAAATTCCCTTGTTATATGTTACTGCAGCACTGAGCAGTCTTCTGCATCACCATTTTGAATATCTTATTACATTTGTATTTCCTTTTAGACTGCAAACTGCAGTAAGGCAGGGCCATTGACATTTTTGTGATCTGTGTTTTGCATAAGGCCCACCGCATAGCTCATACTCAATGTATATTTTACTCAGCTGGGTATTGTCAAATTGCTTCCTTAAAAGGGTCTTGTGCACCAGTAAGCAACATTTATCCAACTCCTTGCATCAACATCCTAAAACTGAGATACCCCAAGTGCAGCAGTGCACTCCTGGTGTGAAGGAAGCCTGGGGCTTAGATGTCCTCCTTCAGATGTTAGGAGTTTACTGAGTTCAGTAAGCTCTGCCTGAACATTACCAGCTCTCGGGGCAGAAAGGCTCCTTCTTGGCGGGCGATGACCAGAGACGCTGTCTCTCCCTGCTTGGTGCTCCTCAGCATGGCCACCAGCTCTTCCTGAGTTCGGCCAGTGACATCTCTGCCATTCACCTGATGAGGACAATCACAGGAACCATCACAATTACAACACTTGCCATCTCCTTCTACCCTAATTGGTGTTTGAAAGTAAGCAGCAAATGGACTTCCCACGATCCACGAAGATCTGAAGTCATAAGTAGTGAACACATGGGCCCAAACCAACCATGTTTAAAATAACAATAACACACCAACCATCACTCATTAAGGTGTTGGACAGCCTCAGAGAGTCAGTAATTAATAAGAGCAGTTTCTCCTAAGACTTCACATTCTTATGAGGAGAAAATCAAACTGAAAGATACCAGAGAATGATTCTTTAAGTAAGAAAAAAGTGTATTTCAAATGCTTAGCTGGCACCATTTTCTGCCTCATGCAGGAAGCAGAAATGAACTATTATCACATGGCAAATCCCTCTGGGCACAGGAGTCTTTTATTAACATTCTATAGCGTTCTACATGTTTGGAAAATTACAGTCATCAGGTCATCATAGATTATTGGGAATTCTCATTTGCAGCTGTGTTGTCATTCAGCACATCTTCTTTCATGATCTAGAACTGCCTACAGAGCTATGTAGTGTTGCTTCTATGCCATGAGGAAGTTAAACGGAACCAGCAGTTTCAATGAAGCTGATTTCTTGAAAGGTAAGCTGACAATATATATTTGCCAAGGAGTTGAGGAGATGATTCTATCAGACAAAATTAAATGAGAGGGAAAAAAAAAGCCTCTTGCATTGGGTAATTCCAAATTCTTCTCTAGAGGCATAGATCAACCCAAGACAGGCTGCCCCATTTTTGAAAGAAGTTTAAAGAAATTGTTACCAGGGCTTGGGTGTAACTTTGAAAATCTTACCCCTAATTAAAGGAACTCTTAGATTTGATCCAAATTCCCCAGGGACCCTAAGAGGTGAAAGTAAGACAAAGAAGACAGAGAAAAGCTTTCAGGGTAACTTGTCCCAGTATCACTGGCCTCATTGGGGGCTTACTAAGTTAGGCTGCTTATTAACGAGTTTTATAATTAAAGTCTTTATCTTGTATTTCAGTAATGATTTTCAATATGTTATATTCAAAATGTAAGTGTTAATACATATGTTTATGTACTTACTTAAACATCAAGAAATACTTTATTGAAGCTATTAATTTCAATTCTTACCTCCAAAATTCTGTCCCCGGATTGCAGACGGCCGTCTTTTATTGCTGCTCCCTTTGGTAAAATGTTTTTCACAAAAATGGGACCAGGACCATGTATGGAAGAGTCTCTGGTGACCACAGTGAAACCAAGTCCTTCCGGGCCTAGTGAATAAGACCAGGAAAACGCAGGGTCACCGTAAGAGGAATAATATTATATTCAATCCTACACTAAAATCTACCTAATTTAGACTCATGTAGAACAAGTGAAATAGTTACATTCCAGCAAATATTTTAAATAAGTTTCAGGTGTTCTAGTTTCAAATACAGATTGTAGTTTCTGACAGGCTATGATGTCATCAAAGCGGATTTAGGGCCAAGTGCAGACGTGTAACACCTTTGTTTATTAAGGCCCTAGAGGAAATGCCACATGTTGTCCACACACCTGGGAGATTGAATTCTCAGTTAACCATTAGAAGCAAAGGACCCTGGGACATGAGTTCTGCCAGCATTCAGTCAGTGGGGTCCCCTGTGGCCCCCTTTACGTGCATCTGTCCCTTGTACGCTGCATCCCACTGTCCCTTCACTCACTCTTGCTGCTCCTGTCCCGCTCCCTTGCATCTTCAAGCTCTCGGTAAGGATATGGTTTTTCACTCTATCTAAAGGTATGCTCAGATTTCTCTATCGTAAAGAGTCCTTACTTCAGTCTTACTGCTTCTTCAGTCTTCCATCACCAGTGACCTACCTGTGAGCATACCCAATAATTCTTCCTATTCTTAATTTTTCCCATTCTCTAGTGTTGACATTTTTTAGCAATCATTTTCTTGAAATTAACTCTCCCCTTGGTCTCTGTATCTTTATTTTTTGATTATTTTCCTACCACTCTGACCATATCATATCTGTCATTCTCTCTCTTACCCACTGTTCTCCCATAGCAATAGATGTCCTCCAAGGACCTGTCCTGGAACCATTTTTCCTCCAGACCCAGCTCCTGGCTCAAACTATCTTCTCTCTATAAATGACACCTAAATGTCGTTGTTTGGCTCTAATCTCTCTGGTGTCGGCATTCTAGAAATCACCATGCACATACTTTCACCAGCTCTTCAAACGTCACTATGAACCTGTTCTCTGATCCAGATCCTGACCTTTTCAAACATACTCATCTACATAAATTTATAATTTCTAGAAATGGCATCTCCATCGTGCAAGTTACTCTAGCTGAAACTCTCAGCAATAACTGTAATTCCTCTCTCTCGTCCCTCCTACATCCAGGCAGCTACTAAGGCATACACATTATATCTGAACACATGCAATGCACCCTTTGCTGAGCCTTTGTTGTTTGGCCTCTTCTTTGGTGTATCTTTTCGCTGTCAGATTAATCTTCCCAAAGTACAACTGTGATGTTATATTCTTTATTTTTACAATCAAGGCTTTCTGATGGATTTTTTAAGGCCACATTCTACTTTTGATTCATCTATCCTCAAAGCACACAGCCTTATATCTATACACAGTTGGGTAATTTGTACGAAAAGCACAAATTGTGCATTTATATAAAAAGCCCAATTGCTAAGCACACTGGTCTGTTTGTGCCTCTCAGTCAATACATTTTCTTTCTAGTATAGAATTCTTACAGGGGGAGGCAATTTTGACCAAAGGATCTTTCAGAATAATCTCTATTAAAGGTACATGCTTTTTGCTTTGAATGTATGTTAACAAGCATTCTAAAACTACTTTATGACCATTAAATTACCTGCTAATTTAGACAAGAATCTATGAGATCTTAGTTTCTTTTGAATTGAGTCTTGAAAATCACATATTATTGCAGAAGTCTGCAGTGGGGGAAGGGAAGTTACAAAATAAACAAAGGCACGGAAATGCATGAATGCTTATGTTTATGATAATATTGCATACATATGTATGTACACCCATGATCTAGTCTCATTGATCTGCATTTGAAATGGATAGGAGGATTGAAAAAGATGAATAAAAAGTTAGACATGCCTTTGAAATTAAGTATATTTTTAAAAATTGCTTGCAATGTTGAATTAATGATATGACTAATTGTCACATGTTTGGTTTCTGAGGAGTAAATTTTTTTTTGGTCCAAAACTATGTTAGAGAACCAAAAACATATGTTTTTTTGAGCTTGGCCTAAGGTTGTTTCAAAAATCATGAATCTTGCTCAAAACAGGAACAATTGAATTTTAGTGTCTATTTAGTATTAACTTGTGTTACAGTATTGCTCTGTCTCTATCAAGTTTGCAATGATTCTCTCCATTCCCCAGCATGTCTATTATTTTCTTGTTTAAAATAATTTACACTCTTCACAAGAAGAGATGAATAAGAAAGTACTACAGTTTTCAGAAATGTGTTACCTAAGTATACACTTAAATCCATTCTTTGATACAATTAAATGAAGGGAGAATTAACGAAATTAGCCTTAATGCATTTCTCTTAACCAATTTTATACGTTACAATAATAGAACGCTATTAAGCATAATTTAATAATTACCTTTCTTAAGGTCAATCTTAATTTTCTTTGCATTTTTCTTGCTGCCAAACCCCATGAGAGGGGAGAGTGAGGGAGAGGATGGCTTTCTCCCTATTCTTGGGACTCGGGGGCTCTTGCTTTGCTGCAGGGAAGGTGACCCATCTTCTTCGGGGCTGCTTGTTCCTGTGAGACTCACGGTCTTTATTCCTGATCTTGGGTGGACAGGTGGTGGTGGCTTTGTTCTCGAAACACCATCGTTGTTACCAAAAATGTTCAGAGGTCCAATGACTGATTTTTCGTACTGCTCACGGTTTTGAGGGGGGAGCACGTGGAGGAGGACACAGGGAGCTTTCATTGCCTGGCGGAAGACGTCTTGAGCCCTTGAAGGAGAGTTAGGAAACATGTAAGGAAACGTGGAAAGAACCGAGGTTAGCAATGCCATCTCTAAAGCATGCCAGCGTCACAGTGATGGGAGCAGCACAGCATAAGCATAGGAGATGCTATCACTACTCGACGAGCTTGACTTTGCTAACTGAATACTAGTTACCACTCATGTCCTGCCCATTAGGTGCCCTTTACTAGGCTACACATGCATTAGTCTCTCAATCTTCTTTTTTTTTTAAGAATATATTTTTATTGATTCCAGAAACAGCAAGGGAGAGATAGAAACATCGACGAGAAACAATCATCCATTGGATGCCTCCTGCATACCCCCAACTGGGGATCGAGCCCACAATCTGGGGATGTGCCTTGACCAGGAATTGAACCGTGACCTCCTGGTTCATAGGTCCATGCTCAACCACTGAGCCATACCAGCTGGGCAAGTCTCTCAATCTTCTTAATGACCATATTAGCTCAGTAAAATTAGCTCTCATTTTACAAAAATGAAAAAAATTGAGGCCCAGAGAGATTAAGTAACTTGTCTAGAAAACCACAGCTTTTAAGCATTTCTAAAACAATGCAGTAATGATTACTGAAGTAAATATCAAAGCAAGCTTTAAGTTTAGATGGGAAAAAATCATTTTGTATATTGATCAGATTATCAATTAATTCCCTTTTAGGACTTCATTCTAAAGTATGGGTGTTCTGTAACATGAGTTGCGTTCCCAAAGTTCAGTTTTGACACAAACGTTTCCTCATAGAGACATCTGGTAGGTGTGCGGGCTGAGCCGGATGTCATAGTGGGTTGTTAATCCCATATGCACCCTCCTGTTTATTCTGGTCACTCTGTTGTCGACTACCTACAGTTTTTACTTTTTTGTCTTAGCACTTTATATTTCTCCTCAAATTTCTGACTACTTTTGCTTCTTCTTCTTCCTTAAGCCTTATGAAGAGGTAACATTACTCCCTTTCCTAGCCTTTCTTGCCAGTGAGACACAGTGAAGGCGTAGAGAAAAGCTGGATTATCTGGGAGGCAGAGACTTTTTTGTTCTCCCATTTCTCTTTCCTATTTTTTGAAACTCAGAAGTGATGGAGGGAACTCCTGCAGCCATCCTGTGAGCCTGACACAGCTGAAAGGTGGCAGCCACACAAGAAGAATGGTAAAGCAGAAAGAGGGAAGACGCCTGCTACACTGATGATGGTGGACCCACCACATCAATGCTAGACTGCCACCTCCATACTTTTTTTCCTTAGAAAAAATAAATGTTAATCTTGTATGAGCTACTTTTATTTCAGGCCTCTGTTACCAGCAGCCACATCAAATAATAATGAATCATAATTCCCACTGCCTTCTGTGCCCCCTCATCTTTCTGAAGCGCTGAATTGCCCATGTGGGTAGTGGAGGAGTGAGAAGACTGCATATGACAACCCCACTCTCCTGGCCAGTTCCTTGATCAGGAGTCAGTTTCTGTTCTCAACTAACTACATACTAAATTTTTATGAGCCCCAATTTACACCTCTAAAAAAATAGAGATCATAATGTCTGTCTTACATACTTATCAAGTCCTTATGAAAGACAGTAATATCATTATTAATAATGACTATAATTTTATCTATTATTCATTATTTTCAAAAATAGGTAATTAAGGTTTCCTTTTCTTCCACACTTAAACCTGATGCTCCCTAAACCCACAACCACTGGCCCCTTCCCTCCACAGACTATACTGACAACTAATGGCCACAGGGAAGACATATTATGAGTTATTTTGGTCAGAAACAAGAGGTTGGTGATGATTACTAGGAAGTATTCATCACACTTTTCTTCTTGCTGCAGAATCCCAAGGCAAGGCCAACATACATTTAAAAAATACATGCAGCCCTAGCTGGTTTGGCTCAGTGGATAGAGTGTTGGCCTGTGGACTGAAGGGTCCCAGGTTCGATTCTGGTGAAGGATACATGCCTGGGTTGTGGGCTCGATCCCCAGTAGGAGGCATGCAGGAGGCAGCTGATCAATGATTCTCTCTCATCATTGATGTTTCTATCTCTCTTTCCCTCTCCATTCCTCTCTGAAATCAGTAAATATGTATTAAAAATAATAATAATAAAAAAATACATGCAGGCTGCTACATCTTCTAAATCTTTGGTCAACAAACCTATTCCCATCACATTTTCATTCACAGAGAAATGATTTCTTGGGGGAGAGTCTTTTAGTCCCCTCCCCGCTTTGTTTCTATTATTCAGTGAGTCCTCACAGACATCACTCACAGATATTTAGTTGAAGGAAGACTGCTGATACCAAGTAAGTTAATTAATAAGCTGAACTAACAGTCTGTGAAAAGAGTCATTAAATACCAGTTTAACTGACCCATATCCCAGGAAAAACAAACCCATCTATAGATGCCCCAGAAAGACAACCAGCTGGGAAGGCTTGCTCCATTCCACGGTTTACCATTCATTCCTGGGGCTGCCGGGGGCCTTTGAGTATGCTGAAATATAAGCTGCAATTAAAAATGGGTAGTCTAGGGTCCTTCAAAGGGAACTGACGGAAATTTTACCTAGAATTTTGATCATAATGAGCTCAGCAATGATTGTAAACATTCTAGGCATCATATAGTATATAAAACAATGAAAAGAATGCTTACTGAACAAAGGTTTTGTCTGCGAGGTCCACGTGGTTGATCTTTACAATGCACTCATTCTCCTGAAACAGTCCTTCCCGCTTGGACCTGCTGTTTTCTTCAATGCCGCGGATGAAGAGTCCGAGAATCCTAAATGCAAAATTTAGGTTGAAGCGCAACTACTGAATAATAATATGCTCATTATTTCTCCACTTGCAACTATTCAGAAATAAGTACTGATTTTATTTATGGGGGAAAAAAGGATGCTTTATATTCAGTGAAAAAAAAGGACTAAAAACACAACTCACTCAAAAGAGAAAAATCCCTTCAAGACAAATAGACATAAATGCCTACCCAGGGCACATGAACCTACAGTCCCATTTCCAGTGCTTGTAGGAAACTTAGAAAGGGCTCGGGTGGCTAAGTGCAGCTGAGGATACAACAGGCTGGTGGTTTGGAGGAGGGCATCACAGCTGACCGCAATACGCAGTTCGTGCCAAGGGGGCAACTTGATGGTTAGTAACAGGAGAGGATGAGCTATTCACTGTAATGTTTTTGCAGTCTTACTGCCTGTTTCAATAATTTGCATCTTAAAAAGTCAACATTTAAGCACAGATCTTATTGCTCCATTTAGAAGGAAGTTTGGTCCCATTTGTTAATGGAATCAAACATGTGCTGAGTGTCTTCTATGTGCTCAGGAAGGAGGCGTATGAGACAAGGTTGTAGGGCCAGGGCAAATGGTCAGCACATGCTTAGAGCAAAACAGAAATTAAAAGTCTGGACACATCAATAAGCCTAGATCCTTCACAGAAGGATGTGGGGAGAAAGTGGGATGAAACTGGGTCAGAAGAATGAGTAGAATTTGGAGAGGAGAGAGAGAACCGACAAGAAGGCAGGATAAACGCTGTGTGTTTGTGTAAGCTGGCCTTGTGTGAGGAGCAGTGTGGGAGCTAACACTGGGTGGGGCGGCCAGTGGAGGGGCCTTGAATACTTTCCAATGGACTTAACCTGATAGGGTTGGAGTGGCACCCGCACCCCCACACACCGCTTCGGAGCAAGGCAGTGGTGCGCGGAAGGCAGGGCTTTGGGAAGAGGTGCCTGAAATTTCAACCAATCTGGATTCAGAGAGGATACCTGGTGGCTCCTGGTGCTTTGTGGTTGTGGCTTAAAGTCAGGAAGGGAGGGAACTGGAAAAGAAAGGAACGGGAAAGAACTACAGCAATAGAAAGATAGGGATTGAATTTTATATATATACTAGAGGCCCGGTGCACGGATTTGTGCATCGGTGGGGTCCCTCAGCATGGCCTGCAGGGATCGAGCTGAAATCAGCATCCAATATCTCCAAGGAATGTAGTAGTGTGCGGAGTGGCAGGTGGCCGGGGAGGAACTGCTCCTGCTCATCCTGGTCATTTGAGTGGGGATCCGCTGTGGGAGTGCACTGACCACCAGGGGGCAGCTCCTGCATTGAGCATCTGCATTGAGTGTCTGCCCCTGGTGGTCAGTGTGCCTCATAGTGACCGGTTGATCGGTCACTTAGGCTTTTATATATATAGACTAGAGGCCTGGTACACGAATTCATACACGAGTGGGGTCCAACCAGCCCGCCCAGATGGGAGCCCATTGGACTGGGCCGGCAGGGGGGAAGGGCCGTCGGTGGTTGGCCAAATGGCCTCACCCACAATCAGGTGTTGGGGGCCGATCAGGGGCTGGGCTGGCTGGGGAGGGAGGGCGATCAGGGCCCGGATAAGGCTGGTTGGCTGCCTCAGTGCGCGTCATAGCCATCGGTCATTCTGGTTGTTCTGGTCATTCCGCTGTTCTGGTCGCTGGGCTTTTATATATATCTATATCTATATCTATATATCTATATAGATATATAGATATAGATATGTGTGTGTGTAAATCTATTACATATCAGTAGTAACTACATAGAAAACTAGAAGATATTAAATTCATGTCTATTATAGATATTTCTCTTTTGAGGGTTTCCCTGCTCCTTGTGGCATGTCAGGGTAACTAGCTGTAGCCCAGAGTGAGAAAGACCTTCTCCACAAGGAATTTTCTGGGTGTGGCGAAGCTGCCATCTCCTCTTCCCCGGTCCTCTTGTTTTTCTTTGTCATCTCCTATAGGGGCCTTGAGGGCTATTATACAGCCCCTCTGTATTACATCTCAAATCTAAATAAGATATGAGCACACTTTATGGGTGAATAATAGGGTCAGCCATGGACAACGGGCTGCCACTAATAAAAATGGAGGAGAAAACCCATCTTCCTGTTTGGAACAGCCACAAAGTGGAGCCTCTGGCGCCAGGGCCTCAGCTGGCTGAATGAGCACATGTCATCCTGAGATGGCAGCAGCAGAAGCACAGCAGTGACACTGAGATCTCTGCTGCAAACATATTGGATGGATTCAGTATGCGGATGCGAGAGACCTGCAAACAGTCATACCACCCGTTCACGGAAGGCCCAGGGTCACAGGCCCAGTGTGTGGTGAGGTGTTACGCTTCACTCCCTAGTTCCAGAAGGTTAGTAATTTAACCTCATTCTGTGCGGAGGAGGACAGGGGCCAAGGTTGCTATTTGATAAAGGATCTGAGATTCAAATGAATATCTTTAAGGCACTAATCCTACCTTAATCTAACATAATATTAAAAGTTGAACTCCTGGACATGCAAAAATATAAAAGTAAAGAAATAGAACAAACTAGTGATTCTTTCCTAAATTCAACAACTCTCGGAGTGTTCACATGTTGGAGTTTTGTTATGGTGGACTCACAATAACACGATCCATTAGGAGACTCACATGTGGTTCTAAACTAGTTTATGTAAGTGATATTTTTTTAACAAGCATTCAAGTCTTCCTTTAATTTAATTCGGTACATCATCAGTCATGTAATGCTACTCCGTAGGATTTAATTTCACATTTTGGGAGATGAATTAATTCTTTCAGGCCACTGGGTTGCAATTTAGCTGGCATTTTACAGCTGGAGCATGCTATGTGACCCTTGCTGATCTAAATAACCCAACTCTCCATGAAAAATTTATTGACAGTATAAGCCCAACTCTAAAAGCCATGTGTCAGAGGTAATTTTGGTAAAATGTAAAACTGACTGATTTTATGAGTTTGGTCCCTGGCAAACCATTCCTGCCTCTCTGTTCCTTGGAAGGAATGGATTCCTCCAGTTTGATTTCATGCAGAGTATGAGAGACTCAGAAAAGAATCCCTCATAATCCACTTTGCCCCACACTGGTGGGCTGCATTAGCTGTCTCATTTGAGACCAAGACTCTCAGGATATAATGATTAATGCTGTCGAGGAGTTATAAGCTGAGATAAACAGGTTAATTTGCATTAATGAGCAGTGATAAAGGAGGCTGAAATCCATAGTCCCGAAGAATCAGAGGGGTAGCAATTCCTTCTTGGTCTTCTGAGAATCATTTAGGCACTAACCCACCCTCTCCCTGGCCGCCTTACATGCTTCCCACTGTATCACACGGCCTCCACCACGCTCCCAGCTTAGCATTTTGATCTAAACATCAGTTCTTCTCACATTGTGTCTCTCTTTACCTGTCCCTTCCTTCTTCTCTCTCATATTTAGCTGTCCTTCCTATGAAACTGAGCTACAGTATTTTTATTTACTAAAAATCAAAGATATTCAATGACTTTAATTATAAAACAAAACCACATTGATTTTAAAAAAAATAAAATTACATTGTTTTTTACCTGCCAAAACTCAGTTTTTATATATATATTTGTTTGTTTGTGTTTTACTGTGCAAGCCAATAGCCCTCCATACAAGCAGCATTTAGCACCCTGTGCTGTGATAGCTAATGAATCCATTGAGAGTTTATCTAATACAACAGCCACTATATTGTACTCAGGGTGTTCTAGCTTAGATTAGGTTTCTAATTCAACAACAGGTGTGGCAGTATTTTTCTAAAAAAAAAAAAAAATTGGAGGCAAAGCCAATTACAGTAGCCCTAGTAAATAATTAAATGTAAATTCTAATTTAAAATAATGACACAAACCAATAAATGGAAGGAAATTAAGAACTAAGTATACCACTCTGACCTTAGCTCACCCCACCCCCTCTCACACAGTGAAACCATATGGCATTATGAAGTCAGACACTTGTCTGACACGCTCTATACCCAGTTACATCTAGACACATGGGTTGAGTTAAGTGTGCTTTTTCAGCCTGTACTCATTACTTCTTAACTTTTATTGGCTCATGTCTCCACGTCCATATTATTTTTTTATGTTTTTAAATTAAATTTCCTTTCTATAATACTAGTGGATAGCAGAAAAAGGTTACACAACTATTTCACTAAGTTACTGAACAGTTGACCATGAACTTATAAAAGTTCATTGTTGAACTAAGCTTTTCTGTTTTAGTCAAAATAATAATAATAATGACCATTTACACATTCATATGGTGTGTGTTTTACAAGGAGCTTTCCCATTTTTAATGTCATTTAATCCTCATAACCTTGATGTGAAATAGGTATTCGCAAGAGGCAAATTGAGGGGACTTGCTCAAAGTTATAAAAAGAGAACACCGAGATTCAAATCCAAGTGTTCTGAATCCAAGTCCAAGCCTCTTTCCACTATTCTACGAGGCTTATGCTAGAGAAGTCAGAACTAGGAGGGAGAAGGGAGGAAATCAATAAATTCCAGTGAGTTTTCCTCATTTGAAGTGAGAGAAGGTGATTGCTGGTCTAGAGGGTCAACCTGTTTTCCAAACCATTGAAAATGAAGTATGATGATGATCACATTGTATATTCCCTCGCGTTTTGGACATTGGGATGATCTTGCGTTCTACTCCAGATTCATGAAGCTAAAGGGCCTGTACTGTAACCCCTCTGGTATTTCACAAAGCTCTACCCCTGCACTTCTGCCAAAAGCCATTAGACTTTCTCAGGACAACTGGGTAAATACTCTCCCTGTCTATCAGAAACAGCCTCCGCTTGTCCTGTGCCATCACCCGGAACATTTATAAACACGCTTATTAACACATACAGGAAATGAGACAATAAGAGCCACCGGTTTTTCAGTTCATTTCTTTTTCAGGAGCATCCATTCCGGCAACAGCTTGGCATCAGCTGTTATTTGCAGAAAAAAAAAGGTGATGACTTTGCAATTACAGGTAGCAGATGGCTACCTGCTGAAAACGATGCCAACCAAAATATCAGGCCTAAACCTGCTCTTCCTGCTATATGGCAGCCTGAATTGAATAAATATTCAGAACCAGTACATTAATACTATATAACCTTTGGGAAAAGTTCTATTTTAGATGGAGCAATGGAGTGAGAGCAAGTCTGGAGATCTGGATTTTGTACGACCTTGAGAAAATCAACTGACTTTTCTACTCTTTGGTCTCTCCTAAGCTGAAATAAAGTGTTCTGCCTTTTTGATGATGCATTTAATTTAAGAAAACAAATATAGCAAACTACTTAAAATCGTGTCATATGAAATACTGATTTTCTTTTAAGTTTTTGAGAGTCCTTGTCAATATAAATCTAAAGGCAGTATCTTGTTGAAAAGTGACATAATATCTAATACTGGTTTTGTATGGTTGTTATAACAGTATTAATATTAGCTCTCGGGTACACATTTAATTTCCATCAGTATCCAATTGGGTAGACATTATTTTCAAGAAATGCTGACACAATCTAAATTAACATTCGCCAGTGTAAAATTTTAAAAGGATATGGTAAGTTATTTATAATTGATCATATTTTTTAAGTAAATAGCATGATGACATTTTGCTACTATAGCTAACATCATCAGAATATACACAGCTTTTGATATGATTAGACATATTATCTATTATTCTAAAATCTATATTCCTGAGGAATATAAGAAAATATCAGTTTGGAATTACTATATTCATTTGTTGAAGTGTATTTTAGAACATTAAAAAATTCAGTTGCAATATTCATCTAACAATATATTAAAATCTTTTCTAAGGATTTTGTTTACTACATATTACTGATAAGAATACATTAAGAAAGCACTTCATAATTAATTGTAAATTCAGGAACTGTCATTGATTTTTTTCTTTTCCATTGCATCTTAGAAACAAATGATTTCATTTTCTTTCTAACACATACGTGGCCAACAGAAGTATTATCTTGAGGTGTCCATCTGAATAACAAAGATACACACTTAATCCTCTTCTGAGAAATGTTTGGGCAAATGAGCTCTGGTCAAGGTTTCCATTAGCATGAACTCCTGATAGAAGAAAAGCATCTTACCTTCCACTCAGAGAAGAAAAGAAGGGCACTACATGTATTCCCAGGGGGCCTCCTTCGGCAGAAATCTCCACTGTTCTGGTCAGATCACTGGGGCAGAAAAAAAGAACATAGATGAGTCTCTGCTAAAAAAATACAGATGAAGCACATTAAAAAAATGATTTTAGGATTATATCAACTTCTATAAATTTAACAGCAGAGATAAAATCAAAGGAGTGCATGATTTACTGATAATGTTCAGAAGATTCGGGAAATAAAATGCTTCAAAGAGTTTCTGATTTCTTATTTTTTCTCCTAGAAGAGGAACAAATGGAAATGACTACCTACAAAAATAACTTCCTACTTAATCTACATAAATCAACATATTTAAAAGGATGTACAAAAAAATAAAAATATTCCCCATTGAGACACACTTGAAAATTACTGTATAGATGATAAAATACATAGAACTAAGCACAGCTATGCATAATCATAAAGTATGATTTCCCCCCTAAAAAGAGGAAAAATGAAATAAAATATGTATTTAATAGAAAAAGCATAGAATTAGATTTTACAACTGTGAAGCCACAGTTGGTAATATATATAGGCATGTCCAAAGCATTATAAATCAAAATGTAAAGTTGCCTTTTCATAAGGCATCAGTTGTATTCAATGGAACAATTCCAAATTTTCACCTCTGTATGTTTTTTAGAGGCAGAAAAAAAGTTATAAAGCCTGGAGAAAATGTATTACAGAAAGAAATAGAAAGCCTGACCCGCCTAACCTACTCCAGATTAAGGAGAGGAGGAGCTAGAAACATTAACAGATAGTGTGTATGACTGAAATGTAGAAGACCCTGGGAGCTTTTGAGTAATAAAATGTGGAACTAACACGTTTTTATATAGATGGGAAATAATAACCGTGAGCAATTATTGGCTCTTTTAATCCCAGAGAGAGAAAATAAAATTGCCAGAGGAAAAATGATAAAGTTGAAGCAAACATCCCAGTTATGGAAATTGTAAGCAGGTTTCTATTGTTTTCTATTTACATGAAAATGACCTGAAACTAGATGTCAAATTAAGAGCTACAGCTGCTACAAATGCATTCCTGCTCCAAATTGAAAATGGTGAAATTTGGCTCCTTGCTGGAAAGTTGAGAACAGCATTAAGACAGCAAATGTCTAATGAAGTCTCTGCATGAAATATTCTCTAAATTATCAGCAATCTAAAATAAATACATTAAATATATTCTCATCAGAGGATTAGGCTTATTTTTTAATGTGTTTTCATTGCAAACCTATTATCATTAAAAACGGCAAAAAAAGGAGAGCATGTCACTTTCCAACATTTGTGGGATGTGATGGAATTTCAAAGCTGATAATAAATTTCAGATGAGTTTTGCTCAGATATTGCTGATATATTTAAAACTTGTTCAGTCAAGCAGGTTATAGCAGAAGCTTGGAATAAAAGGTAGAAACAAAACAAATCTTAGAGTGATAATATCATAGGATAAAATAGATTCTTCTCTGTACTCTCTGTGTGAGAATATGGACATTATATGAATATATGTATATAAAATACGAGGTAAAGGGATGCATTATAAGTCATGAATAAAAATTGTTTGGTGGGCAGAGAATGTTATATAGCTTTTAATGGACCACAAGGCAATCATTTTTATATAATAACAGATATATAGTGCTTTTGGAGGTATTTGAGGAAGGCTAAACCAAAACATTCACGTTCTAAGGTTACGGTATTGTTTTAAAGACTTTTAAAAACAGAGACTAAAATCTCATTTAACCATTGAAACTTTATTATCTCAACCTTTATGATGTACTTTTATAGTTTTGCACTTAGAGCATAACACTTATCTTTCCTAATAAATGTATTAAGTACACACATGCTGATAGATGGCACTCGTATGTATTATATAAAGGTTTTTGGAATGCAAGTGTTTAGTCTAGTATAGACTTCAAGATTTCAGCTTAAGAAGTTTTAGAATGCCTTTATGGATTCTCATTTTTTCTCTTTTGCAAATATTTCTCTACCTCCCTCAAAACCCCTGTGTAAACTTAAGTTCTATGTGTCACACTGATGTCTGCTCTTTATTAGTCCTGTATTTTTACATTCACTTAATAAAGTAAATCTTATAATCTGTTACAGTAATCAATCTTGTTTTAAAAACTAAAACTTTTTGGGGGGACGCATTTTTTAAGTTTCACTTCTACTTTATAAGATTTTATTTTTCAACATTTCAGAATGAACTTTTATGTTATTTTTATACAGGACAGCACAATTTTTGGCTTGAGGGATATTTGACAACTGTTATATTACTACGATGAAAAGATTTTTATATTAGAAACAAACAAGACTTTCAATTCTGTTGACTGTAATATGCAGGCACTTACAGGGAATTTGATCTAGTTAATATAGACAAGCATTGTAAGTTTTATGCATACCATGGCCCACCATGCTCTTTATAAATTGTTATCTGTTATTCATTTCAAGATAGAAAGAAAAGCATTTTTAAAAAGGGGGCCTCAGAGATTAGTACATACATTTTTATTTATTTAAAAAAAACCCAAACTTCGGTATTATATAAATTTGATAGAGTTCCATAGAAATCTCTCTATACACCATTCGTGGAAGATAAACACAGCAAGTAGGGCTGGACACAGTACCTCATAGAGTGAAAATAGCTATCAGTGCTATTTGTTTAGGTAAATTACAGAACAGAGTTCAGGGACCAGTGAGCAGGATATGCACACATTTATTTATGTACTAGAGGCCCGGTGCACGAATGCACTGGTGGAGTCCCTTGGCATAGCCTTTGGGGATAGGGCCAAAACCAGCAGTCCAACGCCGCCTGCTGCTCCTGCTCATTAGGGCCCCACTGAGCATGCAGCCGCCTCTTGGTAGGCTCACTGCCGCTCCCCTGTGGTCTCTAGGCTGTGGTGGCCAGCCGTGAGCCCTGCGTCCAGCGCCCATTCGGTCAGCTGAGCAGCACTGCCACTGTGGGAGTACACTGACCACCCGGGGGCAGTTCCTGCGTTAAGTGTCTGCCCCCTGGTGGTCAGTGCGCATCATAGTGACTGGTCGACCGGTCGTTCAGCCGTTCGGTCGCTTAGGCTTTTATATATATAGATGGGGGGAGGGCTAAGAGTGAAAAATGTAGAAAATAAGATGAAAGGGATATTCTAGCAGTAGAAGGAAAACAGGATTGGATGCTACTTGTGAAAACAGACAAAAAATGAACTCTGCGGTAAAGGAAAATACTTCAGTTAAATAAAAGTCAGAAGATTTCACTACAGTCAAAATAGCTAAGTCCACACAGCTTCCTACGACAAACTTAAACAGAAGCAGGTAGTTACAAAGCATTAAGTCCAAAAGTGTTAACAAGATAAACATTCTAAGATCCAGTTGACAAAACTGATTCAATAATCACTGGAAACAGCTGCTACCTATGTAAGACGTTAGAACAAAATGATGGGAGAAGATGCAGAATCAGTGGTTACAAATGAGCTGCTCTGCAAGAACTAGATGGAAAGTGTTGCCTTTGGTTCCACCATGAGGAGAGGAGTACAGCTTGAGGGAGAGGATACAACAGGAGCTGCAGGAGTCTGTAGGTCTAATTCTTCACTCCAGGCAAATAGACAGCATTTTTCACATTACAATGATTTAACTCAGTGAGGCCACTCGTTTAGAGTAGGGAGGAGACTGGACTTGGGGGAGAGATGGGGAGACAGTTTGGTTCAGAAGAAAATCATGATTCACTTGTGAAGTTAGACAGCAAGTAGATCCTAGTGGTGATGTTCAGTCAAGTGCCTGAGTAAATCATTTAAACTAAGACCAAAAGCATGTTTCCTTATTTGTATAATGGGAAATTAAGATAAATCTCTAGTAGAGTTGTTGGTTTTAAATAAAAAAAATAGAGAAGCTAACATATACATCCTATATCAGTATCTAGTATATACAAGGGGACCAATAACTATCAGCTATTAGTATAATTATTAGAACGTTCTGAGGGAACAAGTAAGCTTATGGATTAAAAAGGAATAACCTATTTCAGGCTTTACAATTTTTCTCAACTTATTTCCTTTGTGAGACTTTTTAAATAAATCTTTAAATACTTTAGGGCTGAGGAACCTTTCTTCACTATTAGACTGCTGACAGTGAGAGAGAAGACAGAGGCTGTAATAGGTGGATAGAAGGCAGCGGTTGGTGACCTTTAGGGACTGATGCCCAGTCTATCATATACAAGGGAGTGAGTGATGGAGTCCAGAGATGGACATCCTAGAACAGCTTGCATATGAGACTGAAGCCCACCTGATGTAAATGTTCTGTTAATGCAAATACACTGAGTAAACATCTAACAGAGAATTTGCTGTTGATGGTAGTGGAATTCACTTAATTCACTTGAATTCAACAAATAGTGAGTAGTTCCAATGGGGAAGTTCTGCAAGGAAAAAACAAAGAGCCTGAGGAGTTCATAATCTAGGAGGCAGGTTAAGAAAGGTAATAGAAAGAAGAATACAAAGCAATAAAACAGAAGTAGTAGTAACAGTAGTATGTTCTCAGTGAAAGTAAGCAAGCTCTAACTTGGGATGCCTGTGCTAGTTGCATTCTTGGTATTATAACATGTACTCATATCAAATGTTAACTGCTTACGTCACTTCCATGTTACAGCTAAGTAAACTGATCCTTAGAGAGGCTAAATCACTTGTCCAATATCATGCCAGTCATACAAGGTAGTCAGGACTCAAATTGGAACTTACTGCATTCCAGATCAGTGGTTTTAAACCACTATGATGTTTTTAAAATCGGGGGCACTTTCTCATGAGATTCAGAGGAAGAGGATACAGGATCAGAAAGGAAAACTGGGACCGGGAAAATCTTCTGAGAGGAGGTTGCATTTGAGATGGAACTGAGAAGAGCAAATATATCTTCAATCCAAGGAGTTAGCAAGGGGGTAGGCAGGGCATGCACACAATTCTGCACTGAGATTGTGAAGCAGTATGTTGTGGGCACACAAATTGGGGGTCAGAGAGGACGAAGGGAGGGAAGATAGAAAGAGTGAGGGAAAGAGAAGGAGAGAAGGTAAGAGAAAGATAGATCAACTGACTGATTGTGGTGGGTAGGAGATAAGGTTGAACCATTAGTTTGAGATCAAATCTCAGAAGGACATGTCAAATTCGACACTGAAAAATTCACACTTAATGTTGTAGAAACGGAGTTGCTAAAGGTTTTAGAATGAAGGGGCACTGTGATAAATGCTGCGGTTAGTTATATATAAGTGGTGGTGATATGTGTGATCAATTAGATAATGGAAAGACATGGGAGAGATTGGTACTAGAGAAAGGAATTAGTAAATTTTGCAAGAATCTACCTGACAGGTAATAATGCTTGAGCACTGATCATAGGAAAATAGCACAAGAACATGGGGAAAGGCTCAATATATTCTCAGATGGGCTCTGCCAATAATTTGTTAAATGAATGGATATTAGAGGCAAAGGAGAAGAGGGGATAAAAGGCAAGGGCAGTTTTAAGCCTGGAAAAAGAGGCAAGTCTGGAGGAGGCAAGTGTGGGGGAGTGTCAAGAAATAAGGTCAGGAGGGAGAAACCAAGATGGCGGCATAGGTAAACACCGGAGATTGCTGCCTCGCACAACCACTTCAAAAATACAACTAAAAGACGGAATGGACATCATCCAGAACCACAGGAAGGCTGGCTGAGTGGAAATTCTACAACTAGAAGGAAAGAGAAAAGCATAACGAGACTCAGAGGAGGCTCAGTGCTGAAGTAAAATACTAAGGTGCGGAGTGCATGCGGAGCGGGCTGGCGGCTGAGGGCGCGGTTGACGTTTTCAATCGGGAGGGAGTCTCAGGCTCTGAGCTCCAGTTCCGGGCGAGTCTCTAGGGACCCAGACTCATACGGGAGAAGCGGGACTGTCTGGCATCGGTCGGAACCCGAGGGCAGCTTTCTCTCTGAGGGGCTTGCAGCGATTACTGGGACACTGAGAAGCAGAGCCTCTGAGGGCAAGACTGAGAGCAGCCATAACTGCTAGCCCTGCCCTGTTGATCTCCTGGGACCCACCCCGCCCAAGCCCTGCAGGGAGGCTTTGGCTGGATAGCCACAGGCAAAGGCTAGATTAGCACCTCCCTAGAGATCCAGGAGCCAGGAAGCCCAGAGGTCAGAGTGGGACTATCCAGTTTGAAGCTCTGTGGAACCATAAAAGACACACTCAGGGGGCAGACTCAGTGAGCACCAAAGCCCCATTGAAGCAAGTCTTGCCCCAGAGGGGTGTCTCCAGCACAGAAGTTCTCCCACTGCAGACACAGCTGATTCTCACAGCCAATTGGCCTGGAGGTCAATTCCTCCCAGTGATAACTACAACAATCAAGGCTTAATTACAACAAGACTGTGCACAAAGCCCACAAGGGGGTGCACCAAGAGTGTCTACCTCAGGTAATTGGGACACTTAGCACAGAAAGGCACTCTATCGACACAGCGAAGCATAAAAAGTGCCGAGACAAAGAAACAGGACACAAACGACAGAATTGGAGGAAAGCAAACTGCTGGATATAGAGTTCAAAACCACACTTTTAAGGTCTTTAAAGAACTGTCTAGAAGCCGCCGATAAATTTAATAAGACCCTCGAAAAGACTGGTGAGACCGCCGATAAATGTAGTGAGATCTTCAAGAAGACTGGTAAGACCGCCGATAAATGTAGTGAGATCTTCAAGAAATCTAGTGAAACCCTCGATGTTGTGATAAAGAACCAACTAGAAATTAAGCATACACTGACTGAAATAAAGAATATTATACAGACTCCTAACAGCAGACCAGAGGATCGCAAGAATCAAGTCAAAGATTTGAAATACAAAGAAGCAAAAAACACCCAACCCGAAAAGCAAAATGAAAAAAGAATCCAAAAATACGAAGATAGTGTAAGGAGCCTCTGGGACAGCTTCAAGCGTACCAACATCCGAATTATAGGGGTGCCAGAAGAAGAGAGAGAGCAAGATATTGAAAACCTATTTGAAGAAATAATGACAGAAAACTTCCCCTACCTGGTGAAAGGAATAGACTTCCAAGTCCAGGAAGCGCAGAGAACCCCAAACAAAAGGAATCCAAAGAGGACCACACCAAGACACATCATCATTAAAATGCCAAGAGCAAAAGACAAAGAGAGAATCCTAAAAGCAGCAAGAGAAAGAAAATCAGTTACCTACAAGGGAGTACCCATACGAATGTCAGCTGATTTCTCAACAGAAACTTTGCAGGCCAGAAGGGAGTGGCAAGAAATATTCAAAGTGATGAATACCAAGAACCTACAACCAAGACTACTTTATCCAGCAAAGCTATCATTCAGAAGTGAAGGCCAGATAAAGAGCTTCACAGATAAGAAAAAGCTAAAGGAGTTCATCACCACCAAACCAGTATTATATGAAATGCTGAAAGGTATCCTTTAAGAAGAGGAAGAAGAAGAAAAAGGTAAAGATACAAATTATGAACAACAAATACACATCTATCAACAAGTGAATCTAAAAATCAAGTGAATAAATAATCTGATGAACAGTATGAACTGGTGATTGTAATAGAATCAGGGACATAGAAAGGGAATGGACTGACTATTCTTGGGGGGGAGAGGGGTATGGGGGATGCGGGAAGAGATTGGACAATAATTGTGCACCTATGGATGAGGACAATGGGTGGGGAGTGAGGGCAGAGGGTGGGGTGGGAACTGGGTGGAGGGGAGTTATGGTGGGAAAAAAGAGGAACCAATGTAATAATAAAGATTTAATTTAAAAAAAAAGAAATAAGGTCAGGTCAGAAACAAGATAGAAATTAGGAATGAGGTGAAGGTCTCTGGCATCCACCACTTGCCCTTTAAAGAGAAGCTAAGGTGTAATTTTACATATAAGAAAATTCACCCACTAGACACCTCTTGCTTCATTGTCTTCTTAAGATCAAAATAAATTGAATGGTGCTTCATCAGAGATAGATGACACTTAGAGGGTAGTCTATAAATAGACTACCCTCTAAGTGTCATTTTTTCTGTAAATAAAGATGTTTGTGTTAATAATGGGAAAGCAGCTAATAGTTATGTTTATGATTTATGGATCAGTGCATTTTATCCATTCAGTCATCCAGTTAACAAATATGCTGTTTGGTTCCAAGACCTGTATTGGAGAATGCTGACCAAATAACTCAGCTTTAAATGACTTCATAATTTCTCTTCAGCTACTTCTTCATCATTCCATACCAGCTAAAACCAGTGTCTTTTCCTAGAACTGCTACCTCCAAGTTTCCCCTGCTAGCTATACATTCCATGTTGTTAAGATCCTTCGCACCTGAGAAGGTGCACAAAACAGGTAACACTGAAGTCAAAAGATTTGGGGAAAGGAGTGATGGATGCAGATTGGGTCTCTAGAAGTTAATTGTTCTAAACTTGGTAATTCCTTAGCCTACTAGAGGTAATGATATAACTCATGTGAAAGCTTGTATTGATATATTTTTAGTTAAAGAATATTCTTTTTTAAAATTCCTAAACTCCATTTGTCTCAATTCCTCATACCTAGCGAAACCTTAGCTAATTTATTCCTGCAGCCCTAAACCGCATAATTTGTTTGCTCTATGACAGCTATCCACATAACATTTAGCCAAGATGTTAGCAAACTTCAAAAAGCAAACATTACAAAAAGTGAAATTAAAGTCAAACAGAATTAAGAGTATTACACTCATTATGCCTACCTCCAAAAACAATCTTATCAAGCTTCTAAAAAGACATGGCCCTGGAGATTTTCAGTACCAAATTTTTATTATTGTGCAGCTCATTAGTCAAAGAAACAACCTGTATAAAGAGTAAAAATTTCACATGGCTATCAATTATAAGCTTGAGGAGAATCCACAGTGAGGCAGAATAATAAAGGATGGTCACGTATATTTTAAAAGCCAATGCCATGTAAAATGCTTGGCACTCATTAGTAACTGGACGGAATTAAAGGAATCTGTTGGCTAAATGAACGAGTGACCATCAACTTCAGAAGCATCACCTTCTAGTGCTAAAGCCAAGCATCTGTTAAATATGGAATTCCTTTCCTTATGCAAAATTTAAAGCAACTTAAAAAATGATACTAATCATGATGGTAGTAATGATAGTAGTAATATAGCCAATGATAATTACATTATAGTGGTAGCAACAGGAGCAAATACTCACAGGGCTGACTCTGACCTAGGCACTGTTTAAAGTGCTTTACATATATTAATTCATTTAGTCTTCATACCAATCCTCTGATGGATTTATTATTATTTATTTTACAGACCAGAAATGAAGGCAATGACAGATGAGTGACTTGCCTAAGCAATTAGGACCAGTAAGCAGCGGGGCTGGGAATTGAACCCAGGTAGTAGCTAGGGCAGAACTGGAAATTAGTGCCGAGAAAAGAAGTACTGGTAAACACGAGAGCAGCTGGCTTTATATAATGTTACATTAAAACTATGAAAAATCTTGGTTGATTGGCTGGTTTCATAAAATATTGCAAAATAGTTAAAATACAATGCAAAGCAATACTCAAAGAGTTAACATCAAAGTAAAACACTCAACCAAATTGAACTCTGAAAGGTGTACTTTAAACTGCTGTTCCAAGAGAAAGCAAATGCAATTATGAAATCCAGGTTGCAGCAGAGTTGGGAGGATGGAGGTTCATTTGTATATGTTTGTCCAGAAGTTCTCATATCATATAGAGAAAATGAAAGAACAGAGTAATTAAGTAATTTTAGAATAGTGATAGGTTTCATTCCACTATTCTAATCATCTTCATCTTTCCTAAAAAAAATAAAACATCTATAAACTATTAAAGGGACAAACATTGAATTGAAAGAAAATATTCCATTCACATGAAGAGAATACCTCAGTGCATCCTTAATTTTCGGTGATGTCAGTAGTTCTGTCTGCACACCATTCATAACTTCTCCATCTTCTAAGTTTTGTGTGGAATCCTGTAGAGAAGCAAACCCATAAACATGTGGATGCTTTGCATATAGAATTGAAAATTTGAATAAAATGTCTCGACATGAGAGAGTAAATGGTTATATACAGCATGCTCCAGTTTTTCTGAAGACTGGAAACAGGTGTTAATCTTTTCAGGGCATTCAATGTTCTTTTCTCTCCCATTTGATTTCTGAAATACTCAAATGGGCCATTTACACAAGGCAATATGTTAAGAGCTTAGGAATACATCATTTAGCTTCCTCCTACTCAACTATAAGCTTTGGGGACTGAATGTTTTCAATCAACAAGGTAAAGGGGTACCAAGGGGAAGGAGTCATTGACAGGTGGTGATGTATTAGCTTTAATGTACTGTACTTGCTTGCACCCCCCTCCCCAGTGACACTAAAATATAAAGAAAGCAAAAATCATGGGGGAAAAATGTTGCCTGGCAAGGTCACTTCTGTCAAAAGTATAATAGGAATATTGCAAAAAAAGAAATCTGGAGTTCTTCCTTTGTTATGAGACTTTGATTTCTAACGATGATCATCACAGAAAACAAAAGGAACCATTTAATTTCTAAAATGGTCAACATTTTACCTCTCTGCTACTGAGAGGTAAAGTGTCAGAGAGGCCCTTTACCCCAGGACAGTGGCAAAGGTGAGTTGATGTCACATAGAAGAGAGGATAGATTCTGGAAAACACGCCTGATATGGATCCCCACTTATGTAAGACACTAGAGGCCCAGTGCATGAAAATTCATGCATTGGAGAGGGAAGGGGGGTCTCTCAGCTCGGCCTGCCCCCTCTCACAGTCTAGGAGCCCTCAGGGGCGGGAGGCGACCTGGCGATCAGGGGAAGGTGATGCCCCATCACACCTCTGCTGCTGCCACTGCCGGCAGCACAAGCCTCGGCTGGCCCTGGTTACTTGATCCTAGGGTGGCCCTGGGTGGCTGGGCAGCCGCCATCTGAGGCTTGCCGGTGCCTTGGGTGTCGGCTGGGTAGCCACCATCCGAGGCTTGCCTGCACCTCGGGCCGGCCCTGGGTGGCTGGGGGGCTGAGGGGACTTGGGGGACTCTGGAGGTAGGCGTGTGGAGGGGCCTGGCCTGCCTGGGACGGGCCCGGCCTTGCCGCGCACCTGCTAACCTGGCAGGGCTGAGGGGACTGGGCACTGCCATCTTGTGGCTGTGGGTACTGCCATCTTTGAGGGCGAGGCAGTCAATTAGCATATTCCTTTCTTATTGGCTGTGGGTGCCGCCATCTTTGAGGGTGGGACAGTCAATTAGCATATTCCCTCCTTATTGGCTGTGGGTGCCGGCAACCTTGCAACAGTGTGAGGGTCAGTTAGCATATTCCCTCTTTATTAGATAGGATTAGTTCTCCATTAGGCTTTGGAACTGGACTTTAATAGAGTAATTCTGCAGATACACCACCCTTCAGAAGCAGGGTCACAAATAAATAGCTTTAGTCATGGACTCAGACTTCAGTGAAACAACAAACCACGTGGAGATGACCCACTATCAGCAATCTCTCTTGTGAACAGAGCACTCCTGGATCGGAATGCACCATTTCAGAAACAACAAAGAACAATAGTTAAGAGTTGGCCACAACAGAATTAGGTTAATATCTTGAAGAAAAGAAGACACAGCTACAATTGAAGCATTTTGTCATAGTGCATCGAGTAATAACAAACAAACAAACAAAAAACAAAAGAAAACACAAATGTATTGCACTTTTAGACTGAGTAGCAACATTTCATTTAGGGACTGGCAGTTTTGTGAAGGACTTGGTGTACATAGATTTTTAAAAAATATTTGTTTTCTTCTCCTCACAGAGATAAAGGAAGGGAAGAAAAATCCGTAAGACTAAAGAAAGAACCCTTTCTAATTCTTTCTAATCTCAAAGATAAATGTCTTTGAAAGCTTTCAAACATGCATATAAATAAGAAGGATGAGATATATGCTTACATAGAAAAGAGATAGGGTTGGGCAGGTTACAAAAATACTTCAGAAGGCAGTTTAACAAGATATTTGCATTTCTGACTATCACACATGGCAAAACATCTGGTGACAGCATCTATGTCAAAGTCATTAACTTTCTTATCTGCCTCTTTCTCACAAGAGGGAGCTCTATGAGGGGTGAGCCTTCATCTGGTCCTCTACATATTAAGCACATAACAGTTTTCATTGAAGAAATGTTAATGGATAAATGAGCCGAGGGCTAGAGTGCTCGTTTTGAAATGCTGTTTAAGAACTTATCCCCAAATTTAATGGATTAAAAAAATAAACATTATCTCTCATGTTCTGAGAGACAAAGACATAGAATCCACCTGTCTGGGCAGTTTTGGGCTGGGACCTCTCAGAGGTGGCAGGCAAGGTGTCAGCAGGGCCTCAGGAGCAATGCTCCAAAAACTTGACTACTGGGCTTTAAGACCTACTCTTTTTTTCTTATAAAAGCTTTATCCTATCTACACTAATAAAAGACAAAGATGCTAATTGACCATACCATCGCTACACCCTAAGCCATGCCCACCAGCCAATCAGAGTGACTATATGCAAATTAACCCAACCAAGATGGCGGCTGGCAGCCACGGAGCTGGGGCAAGCAGGAGGCTTGGTTGCCGGGTGATGGAGGAAGCCAAGCTTCCTGCCAGCCCTGAGCCGGCTGAGGCCTCCGCTCATGGCAACAAAGTTTCAATTATAGAAGAAAAATAAATCCCAGATACCTGCTTCCAGCCAGCCTCCACTGGGAGCTAGGGTGGCTGGAGGCTGTGGCCAGCCTGCAAACAGCCCTCAGCCCCTCACCCAGACTGGCCAGGCACCCCAGCAGGACCCCTCACCCTGAAGGGGCTGTGGCCAGCCTGCAAATGGCCCTCAGCCCCTCACCCAGGATGGCCAGGCACCCCAGTGTGGACCCCCACACTTAAGGGGCTGTGGCCAGCCTGCAAATAGCCATCAGCCACTCACCCAGGCTGGCCACACCCTCATGGGGTGAGGTCCCTGCTGGGGGCTTGGCTAGCCTGCAAACTGCCATCAGCCACTCACCCAGACTGGCCAGGCACACCAGCAGGACCCCCCCCACCCTTAAGGGGGTGTGGCCAGTCTGAAAACGGCCCTCAGTCCCTCACCCAGGCTGGCCAGGCACCCCAGGGGGGACACCAACCTGAAGGGGCTGTGGCCAGCCTGCAAACAGCCATCAGCCCCTCACCCAGGCTGGCCAGGCACTCCTATATAATAAAAGGGCAGATGCTCAATGCAGGACCTGCCCCCTGGTGGTCAGGGCACTCCCACAGGGGGAGCTCTGCTCAGCCACAAGCCAGGCTGACTGCTGCCAGTACAGTGGTGGTGGTGGGAGCCTCTCCCGCCTCCTTAGCAGCGCTACGGATATCTGACTGCAGCTTAGAACTCCTCCCTACTGGCAAGTGGACAACCCCCGAGGACTCCCGGGCTGTCAGAGGGATTTCTGACTGCCAGCTTAGGCCCTATCCCTCAGGGAGCGGGCCTAAGCCAGCAGGTGGTCATCCCCTGAGGGGTCCCAGACTGCAAGAGGGCACAGGCCGGGCTGAGGAAACCCCCCCGAGTGCACAAATTTTTGTGCACCAGGCCTCTAGTATAATAATAAAGAGCTGATATGCTAATTAGACCAAACAGCAGAACGACCATCTGGACAACATTCCGGACGAAGCCGGGGCTGTGAGGGCTGGCCAGGGCTGTGAGAGCTGAGCCCCCTACACGAATTTCATGTATCAGGCCTCTAGTTAGGATGTAATCCACATAACATTAAAGTCTTCCTTTTTAAAATATACATATATTTTTTTCATTGATTTCAGAGAGGAAGGGAGAGGGAGAGAGAGATAGAAAAATCAATGATGATAATCATTGATCAATTGCCTCCTGCACGCCCCCACTAGGGAGCAAGCCCAAAACCAGGGTATGTGCCCTGCCCAGGAATCGAACCAGGACCTCCTGGTTCATAGGTTTATGCTCAACCACTGAGTCATGCCGGCTGGGCTAAATTCTTCCTTTTAAAAAGTACAATACAGTAATTTTAGCTTTTTCACAGAGCTTTTCAACCATCAGCACTCATTTTAGAACAATTTCAAAGCCCCTAAAAGAAACCCCATACCTCTTAGCCCTCATTCCCCATGCTCCCTGCTCTCTTGCCACTCCCCCCCTCCCAGCCCCTGGCAATCAATCTGCTTTTTGTCTCTAAGGATTTGCCTATTATGAACATTTCATATAAACAGAATCATGAGGTAAGTGGCTTCTATCACGTAGTGTAATGTTCTCCAGACTCTTCCAGGTTGAAGCATGTATCAGTATTTCCTTCAATTTTATGGCCAAATGATATTTCATTGTGTAGACATACCACATTTTTTTTTTTACCCATTCAACTTGATGGCCATTTGTTTGCACTTTTCTGATTATGAACAATGTTGTTGTGAACATTTGAAATAATAGTCAGTTATGAAATAATGCTAAGAAAAAGGATTTATTGTGTAGACATATGTTTTCAATTCTCTTGGGAATGAAACTGTTGGGTCATATAATAATTCTGTGTTTACCATTTTGAGAAACTGCTATACTATTTCTAAAGTACCTGTACAATTTTACATTCCCATTAGCAATGAATGAAGATTTCAATTTCTCTGCGTCCTTGCCAACACTTATTTTCCTTTTTTTAAAAAAATTATTTTAGCCATCCTTTTTCGTGTGAATTGAATTTTGATTTGCATTTTTCTAATGACTAATGATGCTGCATATCCTTTCATGTGATTATTGAACATTTATATATCTTTTTTAGAGCAATGTCTAATTACATGAATTTTTATTATTGAGTTGTAAGAGTTCTTTAATACAGTGGGGCCTTGACTTACGAGTGTCCCGACTAACGAGTTTTTCGAGATAGGAGCCATCTCTCGGACAATTTTTTGCTTTGAGTTGCGAGCTAAAATTTGGGTTACGAGCCAGCTTCAGATACCCCACCGCTAGTTGGCTCAGCGAACATCACAG